CCTTCCACTATTCCCTTTCTCTCCTAGAAAATGGAGACTCCTACATCAGGATACTCTTCATTGACTACAGCTCCACCTTCAACACAGTTGCCCCCCACAACCGCACCCACAAACTGTCCACACAAGGTCTGGACCCCACCCTCTGTGACTGGATCCTGAACTTTCTGACTAGCAGGCCCCAGTCTGTCAGGATTGGCAATAGGACTTCAGCCAGCATTGTTACAAACACTGGCACCCCACAGGGATGTGTCCTCAGTCCGATCCTCTACACTCTGTTCACCCATGACTGTGTTGCCTTCCACAAAGATAACATCATCCTAAGGTTTGCGGACGACACCGCAGTGATAGGTTGCATCACTGGCAGGGACGAAGCAGCCTATAGGAGGGGGGGGGGCGGGCTGCAAGGACAATAATCTCAGCCTCAACACGGACAAGACGAAGGAGATGATAGTGGACATGAGGAAGGAGAGGAGATCTCATCAGCCACTGTTCATCTGGGGGCTCGAAGTGGAAAGGGTGAGCAGCTTCAAATACCTGGGCATCCACATCAGTGAGGACCTCACCTGGACACATAACAGCACACAGCTGGTCAAGAAGGCCCAACAGCAGCTGTACTTCCTGAGGAGGCTGAGGACGTTTGGCATTTCAACTAGGATCCTTCGCAACTTCTACAGCTGGATCATCGAGAGCATGCTAACCAGCTGTATCCCTGTCTGGTATGGTAGCACTACTGCTATGGACCGCAAGCGCCTGCAGAGAGTGGTAAAGACTGCGGAGAAGATCACCAGGACTCCGCTGCCCTCTCAGCAGAGTATTTACCACCGCAGGGTGTGTAGGAAAGCTGCCTCCATCCTCAAGGACCCCACCCACCCCCAGCACGGACTGTTGACCTCCCTGCCCTCCAGTCAGAAACTCAGAAGTGTGAAATGCAGGACCTCTACACTGAAAAACTTTCTCTTTCCGCACTGCTGAGTATTTGCACTCCACGGCTCCCACTTAGCATATATTCTCTCTGCATTATATTGTGTTTTATTTTTTTAATTTGCTTCCTTCACTTGCTGCTTTAAAGTGCCTTAGATTTGTGATTTTACTGCCTATTTAGATTTGTTATTGCTCATCTACCTTATATTTCACTTGTCTTGTGTGGCACAGGGAAACATGTTTCCTAACTGTGCATATGACAAATAAACACTTTGACCTTCTCACCACAACGGGGCAGTGTGTGTGCCTTCTTCAACCTGAGGTCCTCTACCAGAGGCCTGCGAGTTTGAGGGTTCTGCATAGTATCTTAGCTGTATTTAGCATGGCACTCTTCTGGACAGAGCTCTGATGTTGTTCCTGAGATCTGTGGGAACCACTATTCCAGTTTAAGAGTCACCACTCCAAGTGCTCCTACCACCACTGGGACCACTTTGGCCTTCACCTTCCACATCTTCTCCAGTTCCCCTTTCAGCTTCTCATACTCCTTTTTCTTGATGTTGCTGTCACTTGGATCTGCTATGTCTATCACCACTACCTCCTTCTGTGCCTTGTCTACCACCACCATGTCTGGTTGGTTGGCCAGTACATTCCTTTCTGTCTGGATCTAGAAGTCCCACAGGATCTTAGTACTGTTGTTCTCTACAACCTTCTGAGGAATCTCCCATCTGCCACTATGTGTTGAACTGTCACTGATGCCTCTTTGCACAGTCTGCACCTGGGATCCTGTCTGGTATGGTAGACCCCTGCTTCAATTGATCTGGTACTTAGTGCCTGTTCCTGTGCTGCTTTGATCAGTGCCTCAGTACTGTCCGAAAGGCCAGCCTTTTCCAAGCCACTGGTAGGATTTCAAAGTGTCAGCCACCTTGATTATCTGTGGGTGGTTCATCCCATGGAGGGCCTTATCATCCCATGGCAATTCCTCTGGTTGGTCTTTGGTCATAGTCCGTTGCTGTCTCAGACATTCTTTCAGCAGCTTGTCTCTGGGTGCCATCTTGCTGATGTACTCCTGGATGCTCTGGGTTTCATTCAGGATAGTGGCCTTGACACTCACCAGGCCCCATCCACCCTCTTTCCAGCTGGTGTACAGTCTCTGGGTGTTAGGCTTCAGGTGGGAACCTCTATCCACCATGAGCTGTTTCCACTGGTAAACCTCCATGTCCTCCTTTGGCCAGCTCACTATGCTGTACGTCGGCAAGGTATCTGATGACTGGCAGGGTGTATGTATTGATGTCTTGGATCTCGTCCCTCCCACTGAGCTGGGTTTTCAGGACCTGTCTTATCCATGGTACATGGATATGCTACCGCTATCTCTCTCTCTCTCCATATATACAGTGGGTACGGAAAGTATTCAGACCCCTTAAATTTTTCACTCTTTGTTATATTGCAGCCATATGCTAAAATCATTTAAGTTCATTTTTTTCCTCATTAATGTACACACAGCACCCCATATTGACAGAAAAACACAGAATTTTTGACATTTTTGCAGATTTATTAAAAAAGAAAAACTGAAATATCACATGGTCATAAGTATTCAGACCCTTTGCTCAGTATTTAGTAGAAGCACCCTTTGGAGCTAATACAGCCATGAGTCTTTT